GTGTATTTTGCTAACATCATGGAACAGACCCCGTTTCCCCTTGTCCCTAAAGAAGATCCTCCAGTCAGAAGCCTTGTGAATAAAGGCTCCCGGAGCACAAGGGGGTCATCATGAAAGTTATCAAGAGGAAACAGTAATTCCCTCTGACTACACCGGTGGCTAAGCTCCAGGTAGGCTAGAGAGGGAGAGACCTGCCAAATCTAAAATCAAACCTATCGCAGCACAGGAAGTGAAGTCCTCCAGAAAGGAAGGAAGAAGGATCACTTTGTTGACTCACCTAAGCCATTGGTCACCCCACCAGCCAGAGTCTGAGAAACTTCGTCCTGGGTGTCACACAGCTGTAAGAGACAAGTACAGAGCCTTGAACTGGGAATAGTGGCTCTAGGCACCTCACTGTCTTTTGGGGGACAATGCCCAGGGTGAAGCCATACTGCCCCATCTGAGAAGAAAAGCTTCCTAAGCTACAAGGTAATAAGCCAGTTTGGGAAAAGAGGACTGCAACAAGACCCGGCCTGTTCTCCAAAACTTCCTTCTGTTATGTACTCCCCCCACCCCTTCCTGTACCTCTTGGATCTGATCCACAAGGCTCTCTGCCTTCTCCACTGTGACATCCTTCATGGAGAGTTTTAGTGCTCCTACCCCAGCTTGGTAGGCATTGAAAACCTAAAGAGAAATCAGAGTGATGGGTACAAATAATGAACTTCTGGCAAAATATAGACAATACTGTTTCATCACCAAAAGGCAGCTTTGGGTATCTTCTGGCCACTGAACTTGATTCGCCCCACACTCAATGAGGTCGAACTTCCCAACACAAAAGGCAAAGGCAATCCCAACCACATCCTGCAGGAACCCAGGCCTCGTCCAACAGCAAAGCCTAGGAGGGGGTGAGCAGTGCATGCCAGAGTGACCAAACAGCAGTAGAGTAGAAGGGGGCAGCTACCATCTGATCTGTCTGGGAGGCATAGATGCGGTCCAGGATGCCTTGAACAGTGTCTAGCTTGGCATGCAGGGCCTCGATGCGCTTCTCTGTCCGTTGCTTGGCCTTTAGAGACCTCAGTGCCTGTGGGAACATGGAGACTTAGGTCAGGGTTGGGTTGTGAAGGCCAAAGGGCAAGAAGAAGATAACCCCTTCCAGGTAAGACCACCCTCAGCCTTCTTCCCTTCCAGGTACGGGGCCCTTGAAGACCCTGCTCTCTTTGGGCTCCCAGCAGGCTGCTCACTGGACTGCTGGCCCCTTTGCAATGTCAGTAGAAGACACAGAAATGTGGCTGGAGGGGAGGAGAACTCACCAGCTGCTTCTTTCCTGCTCGGCATGCCCGGCGGGCTTCTTCTTTACACCTAGGAAACACAAGGACAGATCAAGATGATAGTGCCACAGGAGGGGGACAGCAGGAGCCAGGACCAGCAGTTATTTGAGTGGCTCCAAATCTAAAGATCTAATCCGCTCCTACCAATGGCAAGAAAGATGACACCCAACAGTCCACGGCTGAATTCTTGCAGCCAGTCAAGTTACGGGTATAGCATGTGGGAAGGCACACCCACTGAGGCTAAGCTGTTCACACTGCAGGGAGAGAGAGTACGAAAACAGGCGCCCTTCACACAGCTCCCCATTTGGGGAGAGAGGGAATAAAGTCATAACATGTATCCCTTCACCTTCTGACAACACTCAGTTTCTCCCACTGTCAGATGTAGTGAACCAGTTCTCATTCAATGTCTACACGTCCTTTCAGAGACGTGAGCGTGTGCTACCACCAGGGACCCCTTGCCCAGGCCTCCAAGAGGAAGAGCAGGAGTCCCTCAGAAAGACCGCTCTGAAGGCAGATGCGCTGTTCACTGCTGTCACTCAGTTCCAAATACAAGGCCTGGCTCGATAAATACTGGCTAATGGGAAACTAGCACAGAGGAGCATAAATGTGGCGTTAAGGTCCTAATCTTTGATCAAGAATTAAGCTCATTTTTTTCTCCTCTGATAGTCTGTTTTCCACGATATTTGCCTCGTGCAGTCAGTACTTTCATAATTAGTAAAAAAACAAACAAAAACACCAAAACAAATCATCTTTTTTAAGAGCCCACAGACACCAATGCATTGCCAGCTCCGAAGGCCAGCCAGGGTAGGAAGGGGAGCGCGCCTCAGGAGGAGTTACCTCTCAGCTTCCTGCGATAAGGACTCCACTTTGCGTGAGAGAAGTTGTTCACTCTGCATCAGCTGGTACACACCAACATCTACATCATTCACGGGAGAGACCTTGGCATGTGGCCCCCGGGCGAACTTCACAATCTGAAGGACAGGGACAAATTACTGCTGCACCTACCATAGACGCTGAGAAAGT